ATGAGTGTGCGTAACTAATCTTAAGACTTGTGCAACAAGACTTAACATATTGCCCACGTTGAAAGTATTTACTTTCAAAAAAGGTGAACTATTTCTTGTTCAAATAGGAGTTGTGAGGAATCCACTCAATATTCAACCTACTGTACTTATATTTATGTACTTATTTATTCTTATCGACTATTCTATTATCTAAGGGCCAGAGCAGCGGGAAGATATCGTGTTGAGAGACCACATAGCTTCCGAAAGATGACGATCATTCCCATGATGACTCCTGCGATAATGATCCAAGTTGATATATTCGAGCTGTAGTGCATGAGGTGGTGGAAATCGATGTCTTCTGAGAAATCAACAATGGCTGGTGGCCGCGGAATGTCCGGAATCGAGTATGTCAACATAGTCCCTTGTATAGTAATGTGCTTCATGAGCGGTAAACTCCTGCTCATATTAATTGGGGGCATATTGTACTGAATAACAGTGGTTGGTGCCTTGTGTGCCCAAACGCTTACTATCGCGGTTGTTAAGTGGCAGCCAGGTTGCAGTTTTACAATGCCTTGCTCAACTAAAATATGTGCCGTATAAGAGCTGCCGCAACTGACTTCTGCCTTTGTGTCTTCAGGGACGGAGTACAGCCAGCTATTTGAGGATTTAAGCTGCAACCAAACTTCTTGCAGAGGCATTATATTCACCACACATGATAATGGTAATTGCTTCGAATTAAAGAATAGCTCTAGTTCGCACGACTGGTCCTTTCTTACATTGTAGAGTGGTCCAATTTGGGGACACAGCGTGATTCTTCTCATTTTCTGGCAATACGAATATTTAGTTTCTGCCAGGCTACTATACATTGATTTCTCCTTATTTACTACCAGATATTCATATGCGAGTTTAAAGCTCACGAAGTAGCCGTCGTGCAGAATCGGATAACTGGTCAATGCAAATAACTGTAGCTGTTGGCTTTGTATAAGTGGTATTTGAATTCGCACTAAACAGAAGCCTTGGTTTATAGTGGCTGTGACCCGTGATATTTTTGATAGCTCAAACGGGTCGGTATCTGGCAATTGTAAGCCATCATTTAAATTTGCCGTAATTGTTGCTATTTGGGTTTGGAATCTGTCGATAGGTAAAATCCTTTTCATGAAATTTCCCTTTGAGTTTCAAATCAAATCCGTAATATCTCCTTGCAGTTGCTCTATTGACTCTATTGCAATGTTAATGCTTGCTATATAGTTTTGAAAGCCTTCCATTGCTAATTCATTTTCAGCCGCTTTCTTTATTATTTGTATGGAGTCCGATATTTGGTTAAAATTATTTCGAACAACTTCATTTTGTTTCTTCAAAACCTCTTGCGTTATGTCTTCAATGGAGGATTGATTCTGGTATAGCTTAAGCAAGTATTCTTCATTTTTATGGGTCCTTTTTATTGTCGCCACCAATTCATCTGCGTGTTCTTCATCCATTAGACCAAACACTGAAGAATACACGCTTCCAACGAATGGCAGTATAGACCTAGATGCTCTATTTCTTCCATTAAATCTCATCAGTGCATCCTTTTGGTTGACTTCTTTAATGCGATGAATGACCTGATTAACTAAGGTCTCAACTACCTTTTGAGATTCTAAGTCTCCCTTGTCCAGTAGCTTGGCGAGTTTTTGTAGAGCCGAGGGTGTTCCCATTAGAAGCTGTATTTGGTGCTGATAATCCGTCATGTTCACGTGGATGATTATTTCCCATGATGTCTTCGTCAAACCCAAACTGTCTTGCCTCTCTATTAATATCCCTGACTTGTCCCTAAATTTTTCTATAATTACTTGACAATTGTAGAGTGGTAGTACTAATAAAAAGGTTAACATCGTCATTAGAACATTTTTATTTTTATGCCTTACATTCCTATTCTTATGGGATTCCTCATTTTTTACTTATATTTCTTTCCGTTTCCGTAGGAAAAGGACAAACATTGGTTATTGATCTTTTTGTCATTCCAGTGCTGGTCCTTACGTCTACCATCCTGCATTTTCCATCTTTTCCGATGATGAGGTTCTCAACCCTGCCCCTTCTCCAAGTCATTGTTGGAAGATTTTCTTCCTTAAGGAGAACTAAACTCCCTTGGGGTAAGTTATCTTGTGGCCTTTGCCACTTGACTCTTTTCTGAAGTTCGCTTAGGTACTCCAGTGACCAGCGCTTCCAAAATTCCTTTGAATTTCTTTCCACTGCTTTCCAGTGGTCCCGCACCCCGTGATAACAATGGTTTTCACTACTGTCTGCAAGTGTGGTTAAAGTCTCCCCTATAAGAAAATGACTTGGAGTTAAAACCTGGAAGTCATTCGGATCCTCCGATAATGGTGTTAGAGGTCGTGAATTCAATACTGCTTCTATCTGGGTCATGAGTGTGCACATCTCTTCAAAGGTCAATGTGCCTTCAACTACTCTGTGAAAATGCTTCTTAACCGATTTAACAGCAGCTTCCCATAAGCCTCCTACGTGTGGAGATCGAGCTGGTATATTCACCGAATTAATGCTGTGTACAGCACAGAACGAGGAGACTTCTTTTCCGAGTTGCTCCTTTTGAAATAATATATAAATTTCATGTAAACTATTTGCTGCCCCAATGAAATTTGTTCCGTTGTCGGAGTATATTTTTGCAGGACAACCACGTCTTCCCACAAATCTTTTTAAGGCTCCTATAAAAGCTGCTGAGCTTAGACCTGATAGCACTTCTAGGTGAACTGCCTTTGTGCTGAAACACACAAATACACACACATAGGCTTTATCTACTCGTTTGCCTCTTATTTTGTGGTGAATTTGTATAGGACCCAAGAAATCAACCCCAGTATTCAAGAAGGGCCTGGTGCATCTTACTCTATCTGCTGGTAAATTACCCATGATTTGAAAAAGGGGACGAGGATTTGCCCTGAAGCATCTAAAGCAATTGTTAACAATTCTTTTTGTGAGTTGCCTGCCTCTTAAAGGCCAAAACTTCTGCCTAACTATTGCGAGAAGGCCTTGCGGTCCTATATGTAAATGTTTTTGATGGATTCCCTCCACCAAAATTTTAACTAAAGTGTCTTCATATGGAAGTACGGCAGGATGTTTTGCTTCTTCTGGAATATTGCCTTCTTGTAGACGTCCTCCAACTCTAATGATGCCATTTTTGTCCAAAAATGGTGATAGAGTTATCAGCTTCGAGCTCTTTTCTAAATTTTTGTTACCTGAAAGGAGACTTAGTTCTTTGTTAAAATATTTAGTTTGTATATATTTCAAAATAAAATTCAAAGCTTCTTTTCGATAATATAAGTGATTCTGAATTTCGAGTTCTTTCTTAGGACGCTTTAATGTAATATCTTTAAATTTGATAAGCAAAGCAACCACATTTAATAAGAATTCAAAATTATTTTTGTGGTCAATTGAATCAATTAAAGAGCAATTCCTTACCAAAACATCTGCTGTTATAGCAGTTTTCTTTATATCTGGAAGCGATGTTAAAGGCTTTGTGACAATTTTTTTTCTGTATGACTCCATGTTAGCTAAGTGCATTGGTCCATTAAACCACAGACTATTATTAATTATTTCTTCTGGATATAACCCTCTTGTTATTAAATCAGCTGGGTTTGATTTTGTGTCAATATGTCTCCATTGCCGCCATTTGGTTTGCACCTGAATAAAGTTTACCCTATTCGACACAAATATTTGCAATTTTGCAGGATCTAATTGTAGCCAACTAAGGACGATTGTTGAATCCGTATAATAAATATGCTTGTCTTTTAGATTAAGTGCTTTTGATACTTTTTCCATTAATTTTACTAACAGTACCGCAGCACATAGTTCTAATCGAGGTACCGTCTGAATTTTTAATGGGGCGACTTTCGATTTGGAAGCTAATAGATTTATTTTAATATTTCCCGATTTGCCTACTGATTTTACATATACCACAGCGCCATAGGCTCTCATGGATGCATCTGAGTATCCGTGTAATTCTATTTCTTTTGCGTCAGGTAATAATGCGTATATGGGAAGATTTATTTCATTCAATAATTTCATTTGATTTCTTAAATGTACCCAGGATCGCATGGTTTCTCCTGTAACGGCTTGATCCCAGTCGGTTTTTTCTTTCCATATTTGTTGTAGTATCAATTTTGCCACCACTACAACTGGACTCAAAAGACCTAAAGGATCAAATAGTTTCGCAATATCAGAAAGTATTTGGCGCTTTGTAATTTTGTAGTCAGTTTCTAAATAAGATTTTATTGAGATGTCATCTTTAGCTGGATTCCAAGCGATTCCTAGGGCTTTTATATTCTCAGCTTTATTAGATGTTATATCTAATTTAATTTCTCGATCTTCGTTAGGAATTTCGTTCAACAAACTAGGATGATTAGCACACCATTTTCTCAATTTGAATCCATATGAATTTAATATATGAATTATTTGTTGCCGCATATTTTTTAGCTCAGTTAGATTATCACAACCTGTCATCAAATCGTCCATATAAAAGTCTGACTGAATGCATTGTGAAGCTGTTGGAAATTTATCTTTATTATCTTCTGCTGCTGTTTGTAGACATTTTACTGCTAAGTAAGGTGCACTCGTAGTGCCATAAGTAACAGTTTTTAATCTGTATGTCTTTAGGGCCTCCGATGGCTTCCACCTCCAGTAAATTAGTTGGAAATTTTGATGTTCTTCGTTTACCCAAATTTGTCTGAACATTTTCTCAATGTCTGCTGATATTACAAATTTGTGTTTTCTGAAACGCATCAGAATATCAAATAAATCATCTTGTAGCCTTGGCCCCGTATGTAATAAATTATTTAATGATATATTTGTAGTAGTTTTTGCAGATGCATCAAAAACTACTTTCAATTTTGTAGAAGTGCTATCTGGCTTCAGTACATAATGATGAGGTAAATAACATTTGAACTGAAGTTGGTTTGGAGTGGCTAGAGCCTCCATTTGATTTAATTTTATATACTCCTTCATAAATTCATGATACTGTGACTTTACTTCATAGTTTTTCTCCAATTTCTTTTCCATAGCTAAGAACCTTCTTTTAGCAGTAATCTCTGAATTTCCTAATTGTTCAATGTCTCCTTTAAAGGGGAGGTTTACTCCGAACTTCCCATCCACTTCCCCTCTTAGCTTTGATTTCAAGCAAATCATTTTCTGTGTATCCGAGATACTGGCTGAACCTATTAATTGGGAAAACAATTGTCTAAACGTGTTCCACTGAATATAGTCTCCAGAGACAACCGGAATATCTATTTTTGGCAGTGTGTAGGGCAGATTTTAATTCTGCGTTTTTTTTATCTTCAGGAGCGAAGTCCAAAGCCTCATCGAGTTTAAAACTTACGTTGAGAAATAAATCTTCTAAACAATTCTCGTTACATTCTCCTAAATAATTGCGATACATCATTTTAGCTTCTTTGGCACTTTCCAGAAGGAAGACTTTTGGAATCTTATTTCCCAAAAATTTGTCAATAGTCTTGCTAAGATCTTCTAAAACGAACTTTAATTGCCGTTCTGATTTTGAAATCATGGGAGCTGTAGCGATTGAACCTAAGGTGTGACTAGATGTAGGTGGCTGAGGTGCTGGTCGTGAGGCTATCACTCCCGCTGCTTGCAAACTATCTTTTAGTGCTTTAGCTTCCATTTCCATGGTCAAAATTAGAGTTGAGGTATTATTGAAAAATCCCCTAATTTGCTCTGCATGGTTATCTTTAAAATAAGGGTTTCTCTTTAGGGTTGAAGAGGCCTCTTTGAGGATACACTCGTTCTCCTCAAATTGCCTAGACAGATCGGTTACTACACCCCTCCAACGTTGGATCTGTCCCTCTTCAATATTTTGCCCCCTAAAATTTTTTATTTCCTCATACAGAGCAGAGATTCTGCTTGCAATGGTTTGATTTTCGTTAAGCGCAGAATCCATTGCTATAAAATTTTTTTTATTAAGGATTTAATACACACCAAAAACTATGTAGATAAAAGACTAAGAGTATATATGTATGAATATATTAATACTTACCACTACTCTTATACTGCCAATTTTAATTTGAAACAAAAAAAAATTTCACTTTTCAAAAAAAAACTCACTTAGGGTCACCAACTGTTTACGCCGGGGTTTGGTAGATAACTGACGCTCTGGTGTCCCAGAGCCTTTATTT